TTTTTAGGTTGCCAGCTACTTCCGCATAGCTCTACAAATAGGATGGGATTACACTTCAGTTTTAAAATATCAGAACCACGCGATTGACTTCATTAACTTAGTGAGTGGACGGGCGCGGATGTCTCTTGCCAATCTGGTCTTCAAAACATTTAATATTCCTACTAAACAGGTAAGTTTCACATGTAAAGTTATTGTGAAAATACTTATTTTGTCGTAATACCAAATTAAGTCTCGCGTTTGTATCATGTACTACTACTAATTGTATTATTTATCATGACAATCTTTGGATGTGTCGGGCTTTCGAGTTTTTTTTATAAATACCAAATAAAAGTTCATTCTGATTCAAGATTATACTTCAAAGTTTAACTTTAACACCTTACTTCGTTCAAAACTGTTACAATAACAATTTATCATTACCAGGTCGCAGAATACCTCTGCAAAGAAATAGTAGCAGCTATAATATCGCCCCATTTAGTTAAAACATCGACATTTAGACAGAAGGAACACTTTCAATACACTCTCTGGGGATACGCATTAAACGCAGACATCGAAATGTTCCTCAACATGCGACCAGACGCCTGCAGTCAGATCGGCAAACTGATCCTTGACCACCTCATCGCCTTCCAAAAGATTTACAAATGCTCTAATGTGTCTGGTACGTCCAAACCGGATAATTTACTAGATGATAACGGACTAGACGTTGAAAATCTCATAGATGAAGAATATCAAAACGTAGAAGGTGATGAGGCAGAGTCAGTGTTGACTGAGGAGGGAACTGTGCTCTCAGCGGAAACTGAGTCAGTTTACTCAGTGTCTACTGTGTATACTGTGTATTGTAATAAGATGTCCAGAGATTGCCGAAGGAATTTGTTCGATGTGATCACTAAGAATAATGTCCATATCCGCTATGAAGTTAAGTCCAATATTAGGAAGATAACTAAGGGTGCCAAATTGTCTACTAAGCAGGTTGGTTGAAATTCGTAGTGTTAAATTTTAAGTTAAGAAATAAAGCCACATGACATGAGACCCTTAAAGGAACACTTTTCCATTCTGTCGGAACCGATACTATAACTTAAGATTTGGTACTCAAACCCTATCCTACCATAACTTCTAACGACATCTTACCATTTACCAGGTAAACATAATCTGCCTAGAGCTGCTAGTACTGGCACACGAGTGTTTCGCTTGCGCGTGCGACACGGAGGGCGTGGCCACGACACTGCGGTCTGCGCAGGCGCTGGCGGCGCGACTGCTCGCCTCGCGCTCATGGAGGCTCATGGTCCGGCTCCTTACTGGACTGGCGCGGTACACTGAGTGCGCCTATGTGTTCCAGGTTAGTTTTCAATTATACTAAGTATTATAAAAATAATGTATGTAATGTACAGTGGTCAGCAGATCAATCTAGTCCTATTTAATGTTTTGAATATAAAGTCGATAACCCAGTGACAAAATTGATTAATTAGTTGTTAGTTAATATGTGAAGGTCGCATTGCGGGGTAATGACACCTTCGCGCATAGATAAACAATAATAAGCACTGATCATGACCTGACGCGATTACGCGAATCGTTGAGTCCTTAGAAGAGCTTAGTTTAAAAAAGAATGTGATCTTTAAGGATACGTTAATACGGGTTGCATTTTCATACATTTCACTCGACAAGGAAAGATCCCGAAAAATGTTTGGAGATTTCCTGAATTTCCTACGAGACATTGGACAAAACTGGATATAATTCATCTTACCCCTAAAATTCACAGGCATTACGAGACAACCACCAATTCGAGTTCCTACTAGGTCAGTTCGACTATATGTTAGGACAACAAGTGGACAAGATAGCGGAATTCAAACAAGGTCTACTAGACTTCTTGAAGACCCATTGCCCGGGAGACACGGATACTTATATCATGGTCGCCTTACACTTCAATATGTATGCTGAGGCCGCTAATGTCAAGAGGAAACAGGCAGTGAATCTTATTGATGATTTGGAGAAGATGGCGTTGGATTCGGCAAAGGTACGAGTTTTATGGTAGTTTGGACTGGTATTTAGTTTTATCAATAGTTTTTAAAAGGGTTTCCGAGTGCTCCATTAGACTAATTTTGGATTAAGCCCAGTCAAAGTAATTGTTCTGAATAACTAAATGAAGCCATGTTTCACAAATGATTTTGTTGGTTTTAGCACATAACAAAGAACTTCATATTTCAATAAGCAGTCGCATTGAGGCGTAATATTTTAACCTGTTAACATTTTATGCAATTTTTTCAACAGGCAACATCAAAAAAACCGTTTCAACCACCAACATGGTTGCAAATTCACGACTCTGTGCCAACTAGGTCTCTCTTAGACACGGCTTTGAACCACTGTACCGATGCAGCCGAGTTATACTTGCAAGGTGGTTGTACTGGGTTTGCGGGAGAAATGGCGTCGCTTGCCCAGCAAATTGCGTTGCAAATATCTTTGCTAAATGCATCGCCTACCAGACTCATCTTAAACAGAAGTACTGAGCAAATGTATAAACTTGTCAGCGAGTATTTGAGGTGAGTGTATGTTGATATAAATTAAAATTAGTGGGTGAACTGGGGCACAAAACTTTGTTACGACGTATTGAATTTCCTTTAGGAAATAATTTGGTATATATTTTTCGATACTTAAAATGTAGCAAGTGCCAGGCTGTATATTGCGCCTCAAGGAGCTATCAGACCACCACAGATGGGGCCCAACAGGGCTGATGCCGATACGGAGCCGCGGAAGACTTAACGGGTTGCCGGGGCTCCGGCTCGAAGTGCAGGAGTAGGAACAGGGTGGTTTTTAGTCAGTAAGAGTCTGGACACTCCCTCCCGCCTCACCCGGGTGGGAGAAGTCATTGGATGATTTTCGCCCCTCAAAAAAAAGACTGTACATTCTGACTGTCATTCTATTCATCTTTTCTCTATCAGGCGTCTATCGAAGGAGCACATGATTTTTTATTAGGAAATTTTACCTTGAAATTATTCCAGTACTGTTATATAATAAGATATTGTTATTGAAAGGAAATACCTAACAATGACAACTATTCCTTTTTCTAGTTTCATGGAAGGTCTAGTCCTACTGGCTGGTCGTGGCGGCGAGGCGTGGCGTGAGCTCGCGTATCGGCGTACACTGACCAACGACCAGGCGTACTTGAGAGATATGGCCATGTACAGGCCTGATGTCGCACATGATTTCTTAAATAGGTAAGTTTTGGATTTATTTTTTGTGATGTGTCTGTGGGTATGACGGGCTTTGACAATTAATTCGACGTTTTGATTGTACTTATAGACCTAAATACATTAGTATGTTACGAATCAATCTTGTGAGGTTATGTACGAAACATAAGAAGTATACTTACATCCTTTTTTCATTAGACGTGATATAACTTCTAAACTAAATTGCTATAGGAGATACAGCGTTTTGACAAATGTCGATCATAAATCCAAATTCCATTAATAATGTAACTGAATTTTTTGAAAAAACGCAATTCCCAAATAATGATTATGTCCAAGTCTTTGTGCTCGATTGTCATACATGCGTTTACTCGACCAACCAACCAGCTCTTACTCACTCGTACAAATATTATTTTAGATACAAAACGGAGAGGAACAAGACTCCAGGCTCTCAAGCAGCGATGAACGAGCTTCGTAATCTGTGCAGATGATACAAACTCAAGTTATATACTCTGAGACAAGATCTCACATAAATGTAATGCTCATTCGTAAGTAGACGCTAAGTTTCAAATATCGTACCAAATATCATTTATTATTAATTATTATTATTATTTTATTAATTGTGACTACTATGGCTTAAATAAAACTTTTAAAAAAAGAGAAATACATTACCATGGCGTCGCGTATCGTGGCGCGCCAGAAATATCAGTTCCATACATCTACTATGGTTATGTTCCAATACTCAAATGCCACTTAATTTTATACGGTCTCAATAATGTTTATAGGTACATTTTTTTGTAAAATGACAAAGAAAGCATGATATTTAAATATAACTTAAAATTGAGTAGTATTGCAGTATTCGGATATGTAATGGATCGTGACACTTGGATGTGGTGTCCTGTCGCATGGGTCGCCAAATGCTTGTAGCTGATTGGTGGCCACGGCGTCACGACACGCCACGCCACAGTAATGTATTTCTACCTTAAGCCATTTTTTAATTGTTTATGGATAGTAAAAGTTATATTTCTGTTTCTGTTTCTACTAACTGGCTATGGGAATTGGACATTTAATATTTTTTGGACAATGTTGTGTTATGTTTTGAATTAATCATAGATTTTTTTCGGAATGATAATGAAAGATCTGACATTTCATTAAAATACTGATTGGTCGTTTTTTAATCTTAATAAGTTTAAGTGGTGGATTAGTTTTTATGTCCAATTACAAGCTAGTTAAGAAACCTAAATGAATTCACCGAAAAATGCTTAAAGTGTATTTTAACTGTTATTTTTCATTTCAAATTTTATTAAAAAAAATGTTATTTAAATCGATCGCTGTGATAATATTTTGACTTGACTGATGAATTTAAGTGTATTTTTGTATCGTGTTTAAAAATATATATCGAATAATTAAATGATTTTGTTATTAATAATTATGTAATAGGTTCTGAATATATTCATTTTACCCACTATGATATTTACTTATCAAGCGAGAAAATTATGTAAGCGTTTGTACAAGCAATTTTTGATGCTTTAAGCTTCAATGTAAAATGCAATAAGGTTCATATTCACTTGATTAGAAATATTATTCATATTACCTATAATATACATTTTAATAATTTTGTAACAAACCAATTTATATGAAGAAGTCTAAATGCTTACTACGAGTTTGTTGTACGTTAACGCGCTGGACACGTTACCGCATTCAGCTGTCTGATTGGACGATTGGCTTGAAGCTGGCCAATCAGAGCGCCGAACGTAACAAACGTGTCGTTCGTGCTAACGTAAAACAAACGCGACAATGGACGTTTATAATAAAACAATGCGATACTTAAAATAGATTTTATTTATAAATTAAAACAAAACCCAACACAAGACATTGGCTATACTCTATTACATAGGTGAAAGAGATTATAAAGCCCTAATTTAGGGTACAAGTGAAAAGAACACGAGTCCTTCTAATACTTGAATACACGTCGCGTCAGTACCAATTCGTATAAACTATGAAAAGTAATAAAAAAAGTATTAAGTAACATATCCGCGGTACTGAACGCTAAACCAACATTATATACAAACATACAGAAGTTTTATCATAAAATATATCTACTAACAACTTGTCACATAGTATCTTGAGATTGACGTAACATATATATATATATGTTCTCTTAGTAACGTATTGAAATATTTGAATGAATGAAACACCAAGAAAAGGCATAACATTTTTTTTTTATATTATCACGTAATTTGTTAAAAAACTTAATAGCTTATGATAATAACAATTTTGAAGGTACACAGTGAACTTACTCTTCTTCGAAGATATTCTTTTTCTCAGCACAGCTCAAATAAAAGAGTATTTATTTAAAAAAGTAAAAAAAACGACATTAATACTCTCACGGACTGTGAACTACAGAATACAAATTGGAATGTAAAATTATTCAAAGTTAAATGCTTTATTTACATAAAATATCACCTCAAAGTGAAGTCAGAGTATATTTTTATCAAGTCACAATAATTTTGTTCCCGAGGTTCAGGTTACATTACAAGAGATATTAAAAACGGACCCAAATTGAATAAAATGTAGGTCCCTACGACAATACGTTTATTAACGAGGCCTACTTTCAAAAATGGAGATGCATTTTCAAAAACTTTTTAAAAAGCATAGACAAAACAGCAGAGTTTGTAAAAAAATAAAGATATACGACCTTTTTGATCAATGTTGAGACAATTAAAAATATTAAATCTCATTATATTTTTATATACAGAGCTATGATTTATATAAAACGTTATATAATTAAGTATACAACAGTTTGTTCGCTTGGTAACTAAGGGAACCTCATTAAAATACACCTAAGGCGTCCTAAGTTTACAAAAATACATCTTTACAAATATTTAATACAGATTATCTGTCACTAGAGCATTTTTGTAAGCAATGAAAATAATTTATACTTAAATGTACTTACATTAATGTTACTATTATGCAATGTAGATAATTTATTACATAATTGACTTCGGTAACGTTTTAAGCTACTTCTAGTGTCTAGTTATTGTACTTAGTGGTAGCTGCGCAAGTATTAGGTCCAAGTACTGAAATGCCACTCAACTATATGAGGGTAATATCACTCAGGTATAGGTATAAATAGGTGCACATACAGTACAGCTACTTCAAAAGAGATTTTTTTATTTTATCAGTGCCATTGTGGAGACAAGCCATCACCAAAAGCTACCACATGATTCCAAATTCCGTCTAAAAGAATAATCGCAAGACAACTATTTTGAGTTTCATTCCAGTAATCGGGCGTCAAGTTAATAAAATTTAAAATAGCAACTATAGAAAATAAACGAATTACGACACTGACCAGCAGTGAAGTGAAATTTCGTGTTGTTCATCTAATAACTTGTTAACATAGATGGCGTGACGTACGTTAATGGGGTTAATACAACATGTAATACATACCTCTATTGATGTCAATATTTAATTATCAAAAGGCTTTTAGCCAACATTTCTACTGATAATTGTTCTATAAATGGGTAAAATGTTAATTATATAATGTTTTAATTATATTTAAACACCAGATACGGTTTCAAAATACGTAAATAGACACAGAGGAGTATAGAACAAAATTAAAATTAGGTATCTTTCAACCAACACTTTGGCAGTAGAATTTACACAAAGAAACTTACTTAGAGATTATACAAAATAAAATTGCTTTTATTGAGCAAATAAATTGTTTTTACAATTTAAAATGAAATTGAAGAGGAACAGTAGATTTGAAAGAATAACGTTTTTAACGTTGATATGTTAAACATTGGGACGAGGTATAGTTCCCTAAAACATTGAAATAGGTATAGCAGATTACAAACTTATAATCGGCCAATAGATTGATTATTTATGAAAGATATTTCTGCATAAAATAAAATCATTGACCGATTATTTAGTTTGTAATCTGTGGTGAGTTTAAAGGCTCTGGCATATATTGGTAGAAATTGACATTTTTTGTTTTGCGTAGACAAACATCATCAAGTAAACTTAGGCTTATCGTTTTAATTAAGAAATTAATGCTTTTAAATGCTTGATAATTTCTGCCAATAAATGTCGGAACCAATTTGAAACTTAAACTATAAACTTAAACAAAATTATGTACAAAATAATAATACACAGTACGGACAAATAACCTTGGTCTCTGCAGAGTTTCAAATACAGAAAGAGCGAGACATGTAGCTGGAATTATAACAAGAGCGATAAAGGCAGCTATACATTTCTAACTGCAAAAAGACCAAGTTATGTTGTTCGTATTATAGCTACCGTTGCGGTACTTGCATACATGCACAAACATCACTTAATTTTAATATTTTCATATCATCACAGTCTTCTCACAGGTCCTTATACTAATCTACACGTAGACTTTGACACTGGTTCGGTCAATAATATCAATTATATTGAAAATCTGATTATTTTTATGTATGTATTTACAGAAGGTTCCTATTTATAGGTATATGAGTCAAGTTAGGCTTAGGAACGATAAAATATAATCACAATGTCATGTCTAATAGCTCTGGAAACGTCATGAAAATTTATTAAAAAAAGTGCTCTTATTTGGTGGTTTTTGCTAAGTTGTTAAGCCGCCATAATTGGACTATTAGTTGCCATAATTGGACTATTAGTTGCCATAATTGGACTGTTAGTTGCCATAATTGGATTTATATTTAAGTGCTTATATTGTTATACCTGTGCGATATATAACTTCGTGAGCTCTAGAATGGCTATAAAATTAATCAGGCAATATAATTTGGGCAAGTAACGTTTACAAAAGAGGCGAAGTCAATAAGCTGCTTATTTTACTAAAATCTTCTTGTCAAAAATTTATCTGGAGTATTCTAATATCGCAAATTGCGAATTAAATATCGAAAAGGTTTTAAGCTTGGATTCAACATTGACTGTGAAGAATTATCAAGTTAAAATAGTCATTTTGTACTTCAACATTTTGATCAAAATCTTCGTCAGAAGAATTTTCTTACGCCTATTTAGTGTAGCTAGTCCATTCAACCATTTGCTATCTACGCCAGAGGGCCTAGCACGTATGACGAAATCGAAACGTTACCGTGTTCAGCTCTCTGATTGGCTGGTTAATTTTGAGCAGCCAATCAAAGCGCCGAACGTCATAAACGTGTCGATCGCGTTAATGTAATACGAATTAGCACTAGGCACTCAGATCATTTTAAATCTCGTATAAATTAAGCCTTCGATTTTAGGCTGTGAAGAAGAACTAGCATCTTGCACTATTTTGTTCTGCATAATTAAGTTTTAACAGCACATTATTGTAATGTGTCCGTTTGTCACTTTTTTCCTTTAAACTGTTTGAGTAATTCTATAGCGATGTCTTTCTTCTAGCACGGTGCGTATGGTACGATGCACGTTCTCTGGTAGATGGTCCAGTAACATACGTGGCATTACTTGTAGCTCCATAAAGTCCTCGGGACACGCCCACCTCATCTCGTACGTTGGTTCTGTTGTGCGCACTTTCCTGTAACATTCAATGTTTCAATTAGTAATGTAGTATAGAAATCAATTATTTCTATAATTTTGAGTATTTCCTGCATGACAGTGTATGATGATTTAAATAGTAGTCATGTAGTCACTTTAGAAGGTTTTTGTTTTTAGTAGATGGCGCCACTGGAGAAAAAGGCGATGCGTAAAACCTTTTAAGGAAGTTTTAAAGCAGTGCAGGTGCTCGTTGTATTTGTTTAAAATTACCACGTTATAATAATTAGTGATTTAAAATCCGTCTTGGCAGAAATTTTTATATATTAGAGATGATGATTAAAGATTAAAAAATATACAAAAGTGATAAATTACCTTTCCTCTCCTCCTTCATCACTTTGGTTAGACATGCGTAAAAATGTGTGAATAGAAATTAGCGAAACGAAAATAGTGTATTATACAAAGCAAATACGGTAAACCTAGTAAAAAATCTCAGTACCTAAAAATTTACTAATTTAGGAACTGAAGTAAAAAAATTACTCGTGATTAGGTGTTTTAGCATTAAAAGTGGTAGTTCTTGCTGTTTTTTTGCTTAGAGAATAATATTTCATTTGTAATGTACTTACTTCTCGATACCCATGCGCTTGCGCCGAACGATGTGCAGTATCCGACCCGGGGTGAACAGTCTCGCTGAGGAGAAGCGACGCGCGAATACATCGCGTGATACTAACGCTGCTTCCTATAACACATAGTTTTTTAATGTTAATTTTTGTTATTATAATAATCTTGATATTGATGTGAAACAAATGAATAAGTTATGGAAAACAAATTCTGTCTAGTACCTAAACAATCGGGTTAATGTGGTATAATATAATCTAGTAATAATCGACCAAGAGTGATTCAGTTGAAATTTTGAGCGCATGAGGTACACAGTAAGATACAAAATACCCAAATATCGATCACAAACATACATTTTACCAACCACAAATACTTAATTGAGATATGCAAAGCCAATTAAGTAGGTACCTACATTAGTAACATGTTCAACTTAGCATATTTCTAAAATTATTTACGTTCCGCAACCAAAACTTAAATAAAATTAATAAACACGACACTCAATGCAAATGAATAAAAAAATAAAAACATTTTTAAATATGAATGAAGGATAATATAGTCCAATGACGATCGTAAATTAATCTAAGCTTATGCAAGCTATCTAAAGTTCTTAAATTAAAAAACAACTAAAGTGTATTATTGTATTTATTTTTATAAAATCGTCTTAATCGACTTCTCGGCCTTGGGTAAGGCCAGAGGGAGTGTCAGACTCTAACTGACTAAAAACCACCCCGTTCCTACTCGTGCTCTTCGAGCCGGAGCCTCGGCAATCCGTTACGCCTTCCGCGGTACCAACGGGATTGTGTATAATTAGTTATAATGTCATCCCTTTGTTAAATAACAAACATTACTTACATAAAGTTATTTTGTGCTTAATCACTGTTCTAGGCAAAAGATCGAAAAAAAGAATGTGTAGGAAGTTAAGTATTTTTTGTATGACAATTAGAAACAAGTAATGCTAAGTGTAAGAGTGTTATCTTTAACAAAACAGTAACTTGTCAACTGTAATAGGATAGTTGCCTTTTAATTTTAATGTCCGTATATTACATTAATTTAAAACATTAGACACGTATTTTTTCTTTTCACACAAAATTAAATACTTTCGACGATATCTTAATCTAAAATATCGTGGGACGTCACTATGCGCTACATTTTGTAGCACTTTGTGACGTAACAATCTCCCACTCCTAAACTTATCTCCATTTTATCTAAGTATTGTAACTTTATACGAGAAAATTAAAATACGTGTCTAATATTTTTTCATTATCTAACTGATGGACTCATTAGATTTTTAATTTTCATTCCCTGGCAACTACCCTATTCCCATTATATACTTAGTAGTGATGTGGTGAATAAAATAAATAGAAAAAATAAAAGAATTACCACTACACGAAAACAAACAAGCCAAGGATCACGGAAGCCACACACTAAATAAAAAGATGGTAACTGACAGCACTCACTGTGGACACGCTATGGACCAGTAGCGCGTCGGCGGAGTCATCCGAATTTTGCGCCTCCAGCTGTTCCGGCCGCCGCCATGTTGATTCTAGATCCCGCGCGGGAACCCCGAATAACGCGTAGCCGAACCCATTCAGCATTATCCGGTACTGGAAATAAAGAGGATAGACTCGTCTTAGTTTTTAAATGTACCTATATTGCAAAAAGATGCATTTTGAGTCTATCAAAAAGGACTAAGCTATTAGCATTAGTTTCAGTATCCACGTCTATCGTCTGAATAGTATCGTCCGAAATTGAAAATGTTGATAGGTAGTCAGTTGGACAAGTCCAACTCTTAGCGTTAAATCAGACATAGGTACTAAAGTTGCCACCCTACATACGTCCTTAAGACGTGCCCTATACTTACCTACTATAGTTCAGTAATGAGAGTTACGTTACATTAACTAACAGCTCGTCCGAATTCGCTCCTGGATTTATAGGCCAGAGGCCTCTACAATAGAGGTTTCCTAAAATCTTCAATCTTTATTTATTTTATTTTTTATTTATTTCAACTTCATACAACAAGTGTGTACAGGTGGACTTAATGCCTTGAGCATTGTCTCCCAGTCAACCTTTAAGCAGTGCAGAGATGAAAGTAGCAGGTGATTTAAACCTTTATAAATAGGCAATGTACCAGTGTAATAAATAACAAATCTCACAATCAAAATAAAAAAAACACTAAACATATAGGTATATTTGAAAACTTATACATACTTACATATAACAATAATTATGTATACAATATTAAAGTAAATATATAAATAAAAAATAATGAATATATATATATAGAAATAAATATGTACATTATAAAATATAATACAAAATATTAAATTAAAAGAGGTTTAGGTTTGAGATGAATCTACCAATTGTTGAAGAAGATGCTCCCGAACTTTAATCTTAAAAGCTAAGCGACTGGACGCCGTCCTGATATCCGTGGGTCAATCTTCTTTCTTACCTTCGGCAATTTAGTGGCATGAATGGTCTGTATGATCTTCGTCCTTAGATTCTCGATGCTGTGCACGGAGAGCCTCATCACCAGATCGTCACCAACGCCCACAGTCATCACAAATGATTCCGTGAACCGCGCAGCTTCCCGACTTATAAGCCCAGCTATAAACCAAATAATTCAAATCAGATAATTGCTTGGTATACCGTAAAAGTTAAGCCAAAATAGACTCTCTGTTATGGTAATTTTAAGCAAAATGTTAATCGAGGATATGTTTTGATTCCCAACGTTCTATTTTTGAACTGAATTAATTTATGTAACCGAACTTTGTTGCGATGATAAATATATTTAAAAGGTACTAAGGGTAGATAGAAAAGTAATAAAGATAGAAGAAGATTAGGACAATCGATGTTAACTTAAAGTTGAAAGTATTCTTAATTAGTACCCATAATTCATTAAAAAATGACCAAACTAAACTTGTCGTAATTTAAGCTCCTAAGACAACAAGCGAGAAAAAAGGACAAAGGACAAAATATTTCTCTAATCTAGCACCCACGGACCATATATTTAACATTTTTAACTTTGTAAAAATGAAATGCGGGCAAAGAGAGGGTTGAAAATTTAAATTCCCAACTTAGCCAGCCAAATTAATGTTGGTCGCATTTGTGTTTCAGAATAAAAAAGGACGCTATTTGAGTGCTCCTAAATTAGTAGAATTACGTACCTACAGTAGCATTTAGCGGTCGTTAAGGTACAATTAGGTTCATTATTCATTGCGGTAATTTGGTAGGATGGTATGCAAATTAAAATAAATCACCTGGTGTTGAGAACGCGAATACTTTAAGGTGTGGGTATCTCGGCCTTAGCTTTAATGCTACTAATACTGCGACTCCTGCTCCGAGACTATGACCTGAAAAGAAAATATACATCAGAATAAGAACATAAGCTTTTCTATAAAAAAATTAACACTTCTTGACACATTTTTGTGATTTTTTATTGTTTTTATTTCATTATAAGGTTATGGTTTTTTAGTAATTGCTATTAAAAGGATATGATCTTAAACAGTTTTTGATTCCTGGTAATTTTATTTAAATAACTCTAAAAGCAGCCTAAGCAAATTAGTTATTCATTGTTCTCTGAAAATTAATTCTATTAAAACTAGAATAGGTCTATTTTTAGACAGTATCTATTTCTAGAATATATTGCTTGGTTGGTAACAAAATGTATTGACTGTGTATTATCTACATTAGTATCTACTAGAGGCGATACTAGCTATCCTCTCTATATGAACAATATGCTTCTGCCAGCGGTTTCGCGCATTCTCTTGCGACAAAAGAGGCCTATGTTTTCCAGATCATAATCTACCTCTGTTACAAATTTTATCTCGATCCCTTTAGCCATTTTGATGTGAAAGACTAACAAACAAACAAACATGCATGCAAACTTGCGTGTATACTTGGTTATATAACCAAACAAAACAATTTGGTTCAGCAATAATATATAGTATAAATAAATAATATATTACCAGTGAGTACGAGGTCATACTGAGGGTACTGTGCGAAGGCGCGGTCTAACACGGGCAGCAGGCGTTTCAGCATCTTAGCGGCACCCATCGACATACCCTTGTGAGCTGCCGTGTCTTCTGGCAGACCTGTGGCATATAAATATTTTAAGTTCAAAGTTAGATAAATTATTATGTTTTCGGCTTACTCACGTAGTAATTCGACGAAGTAGCAGCGCGACAGTCGCCGCGTCGCGGGTCGCGAAATGCTGCTCATGAATATGAGCCTCTAGCATGGCTTGAAACTAGTCGAGTTCCTCGTCGAATTACTACGTGAGTAAGCCGAAAACATAATAATTTATTCAAAGTTAGATATTCTATTTAAGTATACAGTACAATATCTATGTGCTCTAGTAAGTTTATTAGTAGAGACAATTTTATTTTGGTGAAGGATACAACTATGCTGAGAGACCCGAGTCGATTAGATTGAGATTGAGATTAGAGTTAACCTTAGCGAAGTTTCTAACAACACAATTACAGCTTGGGTAGACGATACTGTTCGTCTAAGGTACGTTCGTTTAAACAATCTTGTAAATAATATGCGTCCTACATATAGAAAATTAAATAAATATTTTAGAGTCTTACCATCTGCTTCAAATCGCTCTGATCCAGCAGTGAAGTCGGTGAAGATATCCCTTAGAGAGATGGAACCTCTCACGGCCACCACTATGCTCTCACGTTCATGGTCCGCTATCACGCAGAATGGTAGCTAAAGAAATAAAAACATTATTAGAAGTTTCGTTCTAACTTTTTTTATCATCGTTTTCATCATCATTTCAGTCTTGTGACTGCTTATTTACTTCAATTTAAAATACTTAATCATAATTATCATTATGACAAATCCTTTCCTAGAAAAATTTAACTAACATCTAACATCACGCTTTTTATCGTCGAAGGGGTCGGCAGAGGTGCACATTAGGGCACTTAATGCCACTGTAGGTACAATGTAACACCCATTTTTCACGATTTATGTTATGAGTCCTATGTAATAGGGGGTGAGCCTATTGCCATATACCAGGAAGAATCCCAGACTCCGTGCTACTGTAAGTATACTTACTTATGGGATTTTTAAAATTTCTCAGTAACTTATACCGACCCGGGAATCGAACCCGAGACCGTCAACGAGACAGTCAACGAGGAACTAACATATTTCGTCATATTAATGGTGACCAGGCCGAAACAATGAAGCCCGGTAGTTGGCAATAACGTCTTAGGTGCGCTTTAACGACGTGTCATAAACTCCCACCCGGTCCTGCGGATAAACCTGGTGTGATTTTACTATCTATCGTTTACAATGTAGGTACAGTCAGGTCAAAATTAGATTTATAGGTAACACCAGAGATATTTAGAGTATTCTACTTTATTGTTGTTAGGTACATCCTATTGGATCGTTGGTACGGAAGATGACGATGGCCTTATTCAATAAATCCATCAAAATTCCACATTTCACATCACTTTTGGGACTTTAGATTGAGCTATGAAAACTTTTAGACACGTTTCCGACCAATAGACCACGCGAGGCAGTCGTTAAAATACATGAATAATGTAAACATTCAATTACATAGTGTGTAATTCGTTGTAAAAATACCTGCATTGTGTTTGTCTTAGGAGATTTCACGGTCACACCGTGTTTGTAACAACGAGTCATCGATGACTGCATGTCGCATAACAATCGGGATGAATCACTGACTTTGTGATATTTTTAATCCAAGCTTTTTCGGGAAACCACATCATGTGTAGGTAGGTACATACGAAAACTCTCATTGTGTATTTGTTTTAAAATTCATTTTAATATACCACAAAACGATGCTGCAATTTTCAACTATAGGTAATCGTGATGGGTGCCTATATAGTATTTAAATCTATAAAGTAAGCTTTTCTTAATTAAATTCCTCTTAAGACGATTATATTGCCACGGAGGTATAAGTACAATAATACATCAATCCTTGCGCAATCATCACACCGTAGCAACTAAGAAATTAATCCTTTTTAAATTCCTGTAGGCTTAATTAACAACCATCTTTTAAATCTCCTTTGATCACAATATCTGTAATTTTGGACTTCTGTGGATGTCTGATGGCTACCCACTCGAGCAGGATTTTGGACAAGAAACCCATTATTTCATTTTCCCCATCGATTGAAGAAGAAAATATCCACAAAGGGAAAAGTGGAAAGAAGTGTGAAAAACAGGACACCATCGAATGGAGTACGTACTTCAAATACTCGGTTGTTGAAAGAAGCGAAGATGATATCGTCGGCTGGAAGGTTCGACATGTACTTGACGCCGGCAAAGTTGCACATGCAGCAGTTGTCATCTGTCACTATGCTGTTTTTAGGCCTGCGGACAAAGAACAACTTATAAATCAACACAATATATTCGAAAGAAAAGTTAAAAGCTATGGTTGAAAATTTTGAGAGCCCCTAGGTTTTAAGTTCGCCAACGTATGTTTTATACAGACGTCTAAATAAATAAATGATGATTGTAATGAAGAAATGGATAAAATATGTTAAGATCATGATCATGACGGTTCATAAGTGATGTAAGACAAGGATAATTAGATAACTGATATGGAAGAATCATTGGAAAACGAAAATGACCGACTTGGCTGGGCCAATTGCAAAAAAGAGAACATTGTAATACATTTACCATTTGCTATAATGCTATCGGTCAATTTACAATTACATACATGTATTGACGAATATTGTAGGCAAAGACAGCTGTACGTTTGTTAAACTATTCACAAAACTGTTTAGTGTACAGTTCCAAATGTACAACAATATTCAGACATTGTTTAGTTCAGCTAAATTCAGAACCTAATTGAAATTTCAACTTGGCAGTCGCGTGGGTTGTGGTTACACACAAAACCAACGAGGTAGTCGAGTTATATGGTAGTTTCAGCTATCTAACATTAATCTTCCTATCTCGCGAATTCAAATTAATATTGTTAAGTTATTTTTGGGAAAGTACCTACTTTCTTTCTCTTATTAAGTTCATCCATCCACGACCATAATCAGTGGGTTTGAAACTAAAATACTTTCATTAACTTTTTAACTTTTCTCAAGTAAGGGCGCTTTTACTCAAGATTGACTTTTGAACTTTGAAGAAAGTTTGAGACAAATATAATTTTGTTAAACGATATGAATTAAGAAGAAGTAAAGTAAAGTAATTTGCCTACATGAAAACTGTATCTATATTAAGCGTTATTAAATGTACACGGTACACTTAAGAATATTCGATAAGAACACTTGTTGATAAGCTGTACTGTATAATAGTAAAATAATCAAGTGACCATGAGACAGTGAGAGTGGTACTTAACTCTGAAGTACACTTAAAACTTACTATTCGCACCCGTAAATTACGGGAAAGTTAGCTCAATTCGGAATTTGATATAGTGGAGTTTTGAAACTCGGATAAAAACTATCCCAAAGAGAATAGACCGCAAACTTCTGAATGACGGATCACATGAACAAAATTAAATGATCTATTACAAATTCTAGCAAAAGAATCTGTCAAAAACTTCCTAAGGACCGTTGTAATCGGTTAGGAAATAAATTGAATCTGTTTTCTGACGAAGGCAACAGGAAAATTGTGTTAAATTTTCCCCGAGTTGAGTTTGTTAATTAATATGAAACCCAATCTTGTCAGCATCAAATGAAATGACGGTTGAAGCGCTTACGAATTCAATTTTTAAAATGAGCTTCGCAGTTCTTTGTCAAGGTCAGCCATATTGATTTTTCGTTTGCAACATACATAATGTGAGTGTTTTATATGTTTTCGGCCTCGCCTTGTTTATAAAATTATTTGATGAATTTATATGAACATATCATAACATCACGCCTTTTATCCCCGAAGAGGTAGGCAGAAGTGCACATTACGCCACCCACTTTTCACTATTTACGTTATTTTTTTTTGTTTATAATTTCTTTATTACCATGAAAATTCATACAGTCATTATAAAACAGACACGATCAATATAAAAATGACTGTGCAGGCTATCGCACCTATTTTAAGTCTATAAATTTACGTTATGAATCCCATGTAATAGACGATGAGCATGTCATATACCAGGCACAACTCCAGACTACGTGCTACTTCTGAATTAAAAACCCACATCTAGTAACACTTTACCCGACCCGGGAATCGAACCCGAGACCCCTTGCCTATTAGTTGCACTTGTGACCACTCGACCAACGAGGTAGTCTGGTTTAATAAACTAAAACTTGCAACTAAAGACGCAGTCAGAAAAAAACAAGTTTGTCCCATTTATTCATTTATACATATAATTTATTCCAACTAACTTGTACATCAAATAGCGATAGGCTTTAGTTTGTAAAATAGACTTAAGCTGTAAAGCTGTCACGCGTAGGGGCGGCGAGTTATAAACGGTACAAATTAAATTATGAATAATTAATTAATGCAAATCAGTTCGGATTGACGCGGCCCAACTTATAGTTATTTCCCATCCATGAAACCCTTTGGGATTTGCATAATTATTGCCATTCTAGTTAGCAAAGAGTATTCGGATCCAATGTAAACATTCCCAAACTTTGTTGAAATGATACGCTGGGCTTAAAGGCTTTTCATAGATATCAATGGATCAATCTTAAGTCAGAATATGTTTTTAATCTTTTATTTTCATGGGATTAAATGAGTAGATGGATCGTCTGATGTAAATTGGGATGATGGCGGGGTATGAAAATTAAAATCTATTTTGTCCGCAAGTTAAGTAAAGAAAAAATATTAGGCACGTATTTTTTTATTTTGTTGTATAATAAAATTGTAATTAGATATAACGAATGACAGTTTTAGAGTGGGGGCTAAAACGTCATCTCTACGTATAAAATATACATAGAAGTGATGTCACGCGACATCTCAAATCAATATATCGTCGAAAGTATTCGTTTCTGTAAGAAAAATAAAAAATACGTGTCTTATGTTTTAAAATAATCTACCAGACGGATATTAAAATAAAAATTAGGCATCTACCCTATTAATCGGTGTCATCTATGGAGATCTGCAACAGCAGTGGTGTCAAAAATTTGTTCTCCATTGCTTTCATTTTTAACCTATTCATCCTACACATACTTGCTTGAAACCGTTTTACTTTACAATTCCCTGACCTGCACTTACTGCCGTTTGAGAGCATCGGTCATAAAAACTGTTGTAACCTTTCAGACTAGTGGAAGATTTACAGACACACTGACCATAACAAGTGGGTGTATGGTTATGGCAGAATAGTATATCATTGCTACTCCTTCTGCAAGTGTCGTAAGAGACGATTTTTTGTTTTTTTTTAAGGGGGGAAAACATCGAAAGGCTGCTCCCGCCTGGGTGAGGCGGGAGGGAGTGTCAGACTCTTACTGACTAAAACCACCCCGTTCCTTCTCCTGCACGTAGAGCCGGAGCCCCGGTTACCCGTTAGGTTCTCCGCGACTCCGAATCGGCATCGGCCTTATTGGGCCCCATCTGTGGTGGTCTGATGGCTCTATGAGGCGCGCGCGGAACGCGACGCGCCGTACGCTCGGGTCTGTTTCTGGTCGGACGGGGACCCATGCTCGCCGTCCGCAGGCGCGCGGTAAGAGACGGTTAGAGTGACACCTAAGTTAAACTTTTTAAATTGGGCAATAAATTCATATTGTGTAGAGGTGGTCGTAGTTCGGCAGTCGACTGTATTGTAAACCTTGCTTACTTTTGATGTGAAGAATGGCAGAACGATTTTTAAGTAAGAATATAACATACATAACATCACGCTTTTTATGCCCGAAGGGGTAGGCAGAGGTGTACAGTACAACACTTAGTGCCACTACTCAATGCAACTTTTCCCTATTTCTATTATGAGTCCCATGTAATAGGGTGTGAGCCTATTGGCATATACCGAGCACATTTGCAGACTCCGTGGTCTGTCAGACTGAGATGTTTTTCTTTAAATCTAGTCATTCTTTGCCCGAGACAGTCAAGTTTTAAGTAAGAAAGAAAATCAAAAATTACTTAAGTAATTGTTTATGGCATTCTGATACCGGTACTTTTTTGTAATTAGTTAAATTGTTCAATAATAAATAGTTTGACGCGAAATCGGTCTCAAAGCCATCAATAATATTGTACGTACTGTTATTTTATTTGATAAGCGGTTTTGATAACGCATACCTTAGGATGATTCACTGGTAGCGTGTCTACACCTGGTTTGATTATGAGGTAGAACATATATTATATTATATGTATAGATAACGCTTAATCAGTATATCTGATAGGTTTGCAGACAAATAATTAAGTAGTCACATTTTTATTTCATAGACATTATGATTTTATTTTACGTTTTCGATTGGTTTTTTCTAGGTTTTGTCATAGACATTATGATTTTATTTTACGTTTTCGATTGGTTTTTTCTAGGTTTTGTCATAGACATTATGATTTTATTTTACGTTTTCGATTGGTTTTTTCTAGGTTTTGTTGGAGTTTTATGAAACAAATAGACTGGCGTGGAGTCTGTGTCTTGCCGTGCCCGCTTTAATACATGAGGGTGCGAGTTCGAAACCTACCAACGGCAAGTACCTATGTGACTTTTTCCGAGTTATATGTACTTTCTAAGATTCTTTAGACACCACTGACAAACGGTGAAGGAAAACATCGTTAGAAAACCTGGGCTTATAAGGGTGAGCACCCTTCAGATAAGTAGACTGATGTCAAAGTTAAAGTCAAAGTGAAAGCATTTATTTCAATTAAACCATAATTTGGTACAGGTACTTTTGAAACGTCAGCAAATACAAAATAAATAATAGTCTGTCAGTCAGTCCGTCAGTGAAGCTAGGTGAAGTTAGGTGCACATTCTGATGATACGATGGTGGTGATGAATACATTTGTAGATTTTGACTTCCTTTTGTCTAAAGATAGACAGATAGTATATATAGACAGATAGTTTATATTTAATTAAAATGATGTAATACTAGCTTCTGCCATCTTCACCCGCGTTCCCGTACGACCAAAGTGGCTTATTTTATTCTAGACCGTAACCTACCCTTGTTCCAAATTTCATCTAGATCTATTCAGCCGTTTTGACGTGAAAGACTAACAAACACACGCACACACACACACACACACACACACACACACACACACACACACACACATACATCCTCACAAATATTCGTACTCATAATATTGGTAAGGAGTAGGATTAAGTAATATATGTACTTATGTAAAATCCTGTCTACAAAAACAATAAAGGGGCGAGACGAAAAAAGAAAAGTACCTAACACACGTGTTCAGAATTACAATAAAGTCTATATTTGCAAAAGTCCAAGTTCATGTACCCGTAAAGGTAACGACATCTGCCCACGCGGTCAAGTTCAGCCACATTTGCATGTGTATTCGACGTGTAAACAAACAAATTCCTACCTGCCTATTTTAGAACAATAGCCGTATAATTCTAGCTGCCTTGTTGAGAATTTTTGAAACAAAAGGCTTGTGTGACAGTAATTTGGAAATTGTGTATAATTTATTGCTCTTATTTAGTTTTTGTTATGCCTAGACAATACTAAATAGTAAACTAAGCTTTTGATTCTTTTTGACAGTTTATACCATGTGTAATGATTGCCTAAAGACTGTATAAATATTTGCACATCTATTCAGGTAATGATACAGTGCACTATATATCCATATGTAACATCTTTTATACCTGTATTATGCAAATAAATGATTTGATTGATTGATTGATTGTGTATGTACATCCGCATCTAACCAGTTAAATTGTTTATAGTATTTATAGACCACCTTACCAACGTAATACATTAGATTTTTGGAAATAGAAATAGCGAAATAGTGGTCAAACGTCGGCCCATTAAATATAAAATTCTGTGGAGCTTCAATTTACAACAGTATTAATTTAGATATTACTTCTAAATCTATAATACATTGATTACTGAATGAAGTTGTAACGCTATTGTTTGAATATTCCCTGGCGCTGTAACCCTGTCAGCTGTGTGATTAATGGCGATCCATTTATCAGGATCAATTGCAATCCTTGATAATATCCGTAAATTAATATAAAAACAGTCATTCATTCCGCTAAGCGTTTTCTTTTGGTGTTACAATAATAATTCATTTGTTTTTTGTAGGAATTGTGTTGAATGAAACAATGATGTAACTATCTATTCATTAATTACTTAAATAGATGTCTAAAAAAGTGGCCACGGTAGAAATATTTTAAGCAGGAGCGTTTTCGTAGTCTCTAACGTTGTTGGAGGTGGAGATCAAAGGTTCAGGATTATCAAAACGCACTGCTACCTGTGGTCTTACTCTTGAATTCAATCCAATAACGATCGATTGACATTGGTCTTGTGAAACGTACTCTTGCGTCGTGACACTAGCGCCCATTGCGTCCGTATTGCGTGGATATTTAATGAAGTACGAATTTATATTCTGAACTCTGAATGCTATTTTAACAGCTACGATAGGGGTTGTATAGTTTTGACATTGAATAATTATTGAGATTGTATTGGATTGAAATTGCATTGACATTGGTTTCAAGAGTTGTAGTTTACTCTACCCAGGTTTCAGTCAAATGTATAAACACTTATTCAGCTTACTTTGTCAGCTTATGGCACCTATGGAGATGATAAGATGTTTTCTATTTTGCTGGTTTCTATGAGTGCACACGGCCAATCAATCTATACAAAACCAGTTTATCCTGGTATCGCGTCGCATCATCTTTCCGCACATTTGACGTTCAGTTTATACTGGTTATGTAAAGCTCCATGTGTAACGGTATGTACTAAATAGGATAAAATTTGACTTCCACTATCATATCAAAGTAGATATCTATAACTATTCGTCATACCCTAAGTATAAACCAGACAGTAATATTGATTGATTACTAAGAATTCACTCTTATTGCAAAATTCGGAAAACCGTTACAGAAATAAATAAAAAGGTTCATGGTTGGCGATGATATCAGACATAATACAACGTCACGTCCGTCAGTATTGTTTCACTTTGTGTGTAAATTAAACGTATCCGTAAATAATTCACATCTTACGTACCTACTCATGATTTATTTTTAATGATGAAAAGTTCGATGGCGTGTGAATGTCTATTTAAACTTTAATGGTCTGCTCCAAAAGGCTGGTAACGAACTTGTTACTCTGGTGGGTGATACAGGAATCCATAGATCAGCTGCTAATTTTCCCTATCTCATAAAAACATTTCTAAATTTCAAAGAACTACAAATTATTAGCTGTGAATAATCGAAGCACAACTCTTCAAAAGATCCAGTCCAGCAAATTGTTACATCACTACAGATTGTTGGAATCCAACAAATTGTTACAGATTGAGTTTTCCTCGAACAGATTCTGATTCAAACAAATGTTTACAAAATTACCATAATAGTGATAGTGAAGCGATAGGCATTTGTCCACGTCTCGGGAGACACTATGAATAAATTCTGAGTACACATTATGGGCGCATGACGGAAGTGTTGCCAGCTTTATAAATAGAAATGGACTTAATATAACTTCCTTATTGTCGATCTACTTTTGATGCTATGTTATAGCGAAATTGACTCTCTTTGTGAAGGAAAAGATTGGCTGGGTGATTGTGTTGACCATTTCAGTAGACAGTGATCTTAATAATGTTTATGAATTCTTTGAGGCTCTGAAGCTATCATAATCGCGATCAAAACTGACATAACCTACTTTACTTTGGCACTTGTATGTGACATGCAGATAACTCTAGAAGATAGAATGCCGAGTAAATTGAAAAATAAAAGTGTAGCAGACATTTGCGACATATTTAAAAAAAAATCCGATGTAGCGAACCAACTGGCAATGGCAACATTACTTTCTGCCTTAAAAATAATACTAGCCATAGGATTTAACTAATTTATTTATGAAGTACGGTATACAATAAAAGAAACAGAAAAACACCATATTTTTTACTATTTTACGTACAAACGATCCACGTGGCAAAAACCAGTCGCGTGTAAACTGAACAAAAATAAAAATATAAACTCTACAGGTATGTTTTTACTTTGCGAATTTTGCAACATTTTTTTAGTTTGCAACTGGCAATTATGATAAAAAAGCTATCCATTTAGATGACACGCGAAAACAGATTTTGAATAAAGAACGCGATAAAAAATTCCTACTACGCCGAATCAGACTCGAATTATCTCACAAACCAACGTATATCAAAAACTCTAATTTTAAAATAAGAACGAAAAAAACTTACCGGCAGCAACAGCAGGTCAAGTGTCTGGCCAGTTTGCAAAAGCCAGTGAAGCAGTGTCGATAAAACACGTAAGGCCACCCATACGCTGCTATGGACAGCCTCAGGTAATGCAAGGCGTCCTCCAAGTTCATCCACGGAGGTGTCTCCGAAAATATCTTATTAACATCTGTCGTATATATTGGCTCTTCATCGTTAAGCATTTGGATTCTTCTCATTTCCCTCGTCTCCCTTTTTTGCCGCACCCTGAGTAGAACGCAGCCTGCCACCACGTCTGATGGGACGAGGTCCGTTGATCTGAATAGGGCGCTTAGGAGAGCTGTGAAAGAGGATGAACTGGTTAATAGCTGTTATTTTGTAGAGGTGGTATTGGTAATGTTCTGAGATTCGTTTTAAGAAGAACTAAAAAAATTAATACGAATGCGAATCTCTTACACTGTCTCCTTTTTTTTTAAACGTTGCTCCACACTTGGATTTTCTCCTGTGTCGTGGGTGCGTTTACAAACATTCAAGTTTACATACACATGACACCCAGATCGGGAACAACAATTTGTGGATCACACAAAGAATTGTTTCGTGCGGGAATCGAACCCGCGACACGTTGCGCGGTAGTCGGTTGCGTGCAGTCAGCCTTTTTTAAAAAGCGGTTAGGAACTATTTAGGCGTTTCACTTATTTTTTTCCTTGTCCGGAATTAACATAGTTCTTACATGTTTCTGTTATACAATCGAATGAATAATCTACTCAAAATACCATATACAGGTAAGTATTACCTAATCCTCACACAAGAAAAAAAGTGAGGATTCAATTAATGTGCCGCAGTCTAAAGTTTTCTCATTTGGAAGCAGATAAATTGCGCAGTTCTTATCTCTTTGTAATAAACCACTTTTTCGCTTAACATGTAAGTAGTTATAACAGTTTTATCAGCAGCTTCGAAAGGATTTGACGTAATTGTACTTGTGGACTTATTATCCAGTAACTTATGACTGGTGACCAGTGTTCTCTTGGTTTCAGTCAGTACTGTCTAAGTATTGCACCTTCACAAATTCATGAGTCATTGCCATTTTTTTTTTTTATGAAACTACCAAAAAATATTAAGTCAGTATGGTAAGGTATAGCTTTGGTTACTATATATCAAAGTTAAAAACGAAAGTAAACTTCATACAGATACACTCTTTGGTTAAAAGGTACCATTATACAAGAAGAATTTGACTAGTTGGCATTGTTTTTACAAATAAATACGAATTGTTTTTTGAAATCCTATCAGGAAAGTGATTACGTAAAATGGCAGTGGTGATACCGTGGACGCGATTACAGTAATCGGAGCGGAACGTACTTGTAGGGCGTAGAAGTCGGTTATTGCATTACTTTCACGTAATCAAATCATCAACAGTGTATTGTTGGACTATAGGCCTTGTGTACGAGACTACTAGAGCGGAGTTGGCATGTACGCTTGGTTATCGGGTAGGAGATTACAGTTTAAAAGACATCAAGGGATGCTGTTGCCCGATCTCTGTTAGGTGTACTCCTGCGCACAGACAACCGCGGGAATATTAAGGGGTGGTGACAAAAGTACTCTCTTTTCTTTCTTTTTTATGGAATAAGCGAGCAGACGGATCACCTGATGGTAAGCAATCGGTGCCGCCCATGGCGTTACTGGCCTTTTAGAGTTTGAGGATTCATGGATTAGAGAGATTTGGGGAAGGTAAGGGAGATAACGAAACACAACGCTAGCGTTGCTTTACGTCGGTTTTCTGTGAGGCCGTGGTATTACTCCGGTCGAGCCGGCCCATTCGTGCCGAAGCATGGCTCTCCCACACTTAATCCTTTCTTTTTCTCTCTCCCTCTCTCTGCTGTAATAACACGGCTTCCGTAACTATACGTATTAAGCCAAATATATTATTGTGTCCTTTGAATAATTTGAAATCATTATTTTTCTATGTTAAGGTACTGTTACACATGCTAACTTCAAGCACGAAAGCATGCTTTCATAGAACACTTGTCACTTAGTAGCATGTGTGTCGGAATGTTGTTCAAAATTAACATGCTCATTTCGGACATGCTTTTTTTTTTTTTTAAGGGGGGAAAATCATCGAATGACTTCTCCCGCCTGGGTGAGGCGGGAGGGAGTGTCAGACTCTTATTGACTAAAAACCACCCCGTTCCTTCTCCTGCTCGTCGAGCCGGAGCCCCGGTTACCCGTTAGGTTCTCCGCGACTCCGAATCGGCATCGGCCCTATTGGGCCCCATCTGTGGTGGTCTGATGGCTCTTTGAGGCGCGCGCGGAACGCGACGCGCCGTACGCTCGGGTCTGTTTCTGGTCGGACGGGGAGCCACCCATGCTCGCCGTCCGCAGGCCCGCGCTTACGGTGGCCGGAGATCGTCCCGCGATCCCCGACGCCCGGTGTGTCCTTCGCGATGGCTGGGTTGCGAGGAGGCAGCGCTTCGCTGCCTCACGCGTCCCGCCTCCTCCTTAGCTAGCATGACTGCTTCGCAAAAGGAGGAGACGGCATCCCAATCCCCCTCGCTCCGCATCATGGCCTGCACTAGGCCCGGACGCGAGAGGTCGCCATCGCCGATCACTTCCCTGAGGACACGGCGGTGCTCAGCCCACGAAGGGCATTCTCCCACCGTGTGTTCCACCGTGTCCTCAGGGCGGTCCTCGCAGTGATGACACCCGGGCGTTTCCTCCCGCCCCATCAGACACAGGTACCTCCCGAAACTTCCATGTCCGGTGAGGACCTGCGTCAGGCGGTAGGTGAGGACGCCGTAGCGTCTCTCAAGCCACTCCTCAAAGAGGGGACTTACCGCTGCGATGGCAGCGAGCCCAGCCCTCGGTTGCGACAGTCGTTGCTGCCATTCCGCCATGAGATCGCGCCGGAGCTCATCCCGCCACGCACTTATCTGGCGCGGCAGCGGAGTTTCGCCCCGGCGACGTGCCTCCGCGCGCATGCTGTGCACGCGCGCGAGCACCTTCGCCTCCAGATCCCACGGCGGTAATCCGGCAAGGAGGTTCGCCGACTCCCCGGAGATCGTGCGGTATCCGCGGATCATTCGGATTGCCATGACCCTCTGTGCCATGAGCAGCGTCCGAGCGGGACGCCGCAACAGGTTAGGCGCCCAAACAGGGGCGCCGTAGAGGGCCATGGACATTTCGGACATGCTTGCGAACCGACAGGCGTTCGATATTTGAACATTTTTGAGCATGCTCAATAGAATGCCCTTTAGCATGCTATTTTATAGCAAATGTAACAGTACGTTAATGTGTGAGTGTCGATGCGTCTATGTAGCTTGGCATAGTGGGATTTTTGGTACACACACTGGGATCCCAATAAACCCACCAATCAGAGGTTCCGTTTCGATTACTTTAAGCGTAAAACAAAGACGTACTAAGGCCTCAGGTCATTCCGTCACGATAGGTTGGTCCCTAAACAATCGTTTGTGGTGACCTTTTTAATTTTGCACGTTATTTCCAGGTGTTTAGGTAATAAATTAGCTTTACCGTCTATTTATTTCCAACTGTTCTCTGTATGTGACTACGTAAAAGATATGGGCGAATACGTGGTGTCTTGCGGGTTTAATTCAAATTCAAATTGTTTATTATCTCAAGAATAGAGATGATGACAGGGTATGAAAATTAAAACTGTAATTAGTTCGTCAGTTAGGGAATGAAAAAATATCAAACATGTATTTTTTTTTGTTGTATAATAAAATGATACTCAGATAAACGATAACGAATCAAAGTTTAGGAGTGGTGGCTAAAACGTCATTTCTACGTATAAATACATAGAAGTGACGTCACGCGACATTTCAAATCTTCGAAACTGTTCGTTTCAAATCTTCGAAACTCCTTCCTTTGTTTATTTAATTCAATTACTATAGAGATTAACATAATGTGGGATCATTTTATAATAACTATCGTAAGACATGCTGAATTAACTAAAAATGAGGAATAATTTCTCTGTGACTAGAAACTAGTAGAGCTTGTCTCAGTATATTCACGTGAGTAACTCGTAATTTTTGGTATTTGAGGGATTTTAATTATTAGTAGTTACCTATTTCAGGTTTTGATGCTTCTTCTTATCTAGGTTTCCATCTAAGTCGGATTTTAAATTATTTATACTGAACACGCATTTAGCAACATAACCCGTCCAATAACTGTGTCATATCAAAAAGGTACATACATTTAATAAAGCTGCAAAAAATGCTTATTCACGATACCTAAATATATCTTCTTGAGAATAAACATAGAGCCGTATTAGGTATAAGGAAAAATAGTACGAAATGACCATTTCTGACCTACATTATTTGAAGGTTGCTTATTAACCTGTCGCAGAACTACGAAGCAAGTATAACATTTTATCTTGGAACGGTATCTATGACTAGAATAGCTACAGATATAATTTAAATACTTCCGTTCTCATTCTTTAACAGCTACTTATGTAGATGAAGCATGAGGCAATCAACTAGTGACAGAAGTAAATAAAATAGTTTGTTTGTTTACTGCAAGGGAATGGACGTTTACATTCTATTAGTATTAGCATATATATGTTTAAACAAAGCATTATGTAATAATGTGTATAAAAATATTTATTTTAATCCACATTAACATTTTACACACACAAAAATTCTCTCAAATTACATTTTTAAATACTACTTACAAAATATAAAAATACAAATTAATAATTTTAACTATTATTATGATAAATATTCATTTAAAACTAAATGTAAAATATCCAAAAGTCAAACTATTTGTGCACAGTTTTGTTAGATTGGACGGCACACCATATAAGTACCATTTATTATTAAATAAATAAATAAATAGTAGAATTTGCGACAAAAGTAAATGAAATATTCCAAGTTTAAAGTTTACAAAACATCGTCTTAGATTAGGGTAATTAATAAATCAAGTATAGTATTTCTCTCAAGAGCTCTCAAGGGTTAAGAATTTAAGATGAACTGACAGTTCTTTACATAGGTATATTAATTTTATAATATCACTTGACGCCATTAGCATTTACTTCCGATAATTTTTCTAAACCTCTAACTATTAGTTGGTGGTTTTAAACATGTCTTTTCATTTAAGTATCTATGTTTTAACATAACATCACGCATTTTATCCCCGAAAGGGTAGGCAGAGGTGCACATTATGCCACTGTACAATGTTTAAACGTTTCTCATATTTACCTGCAACCTGTTGAAAAGCTTCTTTCCCATGTTCATCTCTCTTCAGCCAGCAGAACGCCCATCGGAACCTTCGAGACCACAACCCCGTGACCTTCCTGTGATGTCGGACCTGGTTGGGGGTGTCCTGCATGTCTCCATAGTTCACTGATCCCAGGGGATCAAACACCATAAATAGGCCGAACACTGTTAGACCTAGCTGCACCCAGTTGAATAGGACAATGCCTGTGGAAAATGGAAAATGTGTTTTATTGTCTAGTAATATGTTGTAAAATCTCATATTTAGGAGTCACAGTTTGTGCAGTAAAATGAAATGGCTAAGATTTTAACTTGTATCTTTTTCAGTGAATTGTCATTCGCTAACGTAGGTAACTAATAACCTGGTATTCAAATTACAAAACTGACTGTATTGTAATGTAATCAAACATAATTTATTACGACTAACGAAATTCTCATCGTATTTGAATAGGCTACTACAATACGTCACATTGTGTTGAAATGCCGACAAAATAAACAAACCGTTATAGTATCGGCCTTCACCGTCCAATCAAGAGCTCAGTAACTTGAACCACTGATCGACAAGAAACTCAATACATAATAATGAATTAATTAAATCATTCACAAAAGGGGTATTCATACAAAATGTACAATCTTGACGTTGAAAGTCGTTCATTGTGTGGCTTTGAAAGGGGAGTTTACAAAGGGTGCGCTAATTTACAGAAGCGGGTGAAACAGTAACTCACTCTGTATGACTATACTGGAGAACTTGTCGTCGACTGAACATTGTATTACTTCGCAGAACATCCACATCGTGCCCATGACGTTTAGGGCCGTCTCTGGAAACACTAGCAGCACTCTGCAATAAAACGTATATTTGTGAACGCTCGTAAATCTCAGGTGTTCGTACACAACACTGTTCTAACTGTAGATACTTAAAATGTGTCTGTATAACAAGCATGAACTGTTGTTTCTTGGAGACGATATATATGTACCTAGTGTCTTTCTGTAAGATCGGATGGGTAGATAGGAAAGGTAACGGACACACAGATCGTCCAATTGAGATTCAAATAATCTTATATCTTATACTATAATATAAAACGGAAGAGTTTATTTTTTTTGTTTGTTTGTTTGAACGCGCTCATCTCCGTAACTACAAGTCTGATTTGAATAATTCTTTTTGTGTTGGATAGCGCATTTATCGAGGATGGCTATAGGTTAAAAACATCACTCTACGACCAATAGGAGCTGAGCAGAACGTGTGAAACCGCGCGGAAGTAGCTATTATCGCTATAAAGTCGCTAACAATATGTCTATCATGACTCGAATACTATAATATTTACAACAGACAAAAATACACGTGGTCAGTAGCTAACTGCATTTATCCCAGACATAATATAATTATCTTGAGAGATATTACAAATAGTTTATACCTACTTAAAATGTTGTGACGATTTACTCTCGAGTTATAAAAATATAATTAATGATAACATAAATCCAGATACACTTCTTATCAATATAATAATTCGACAAATTATTTCAGGTTCATATCATTATTATGACCCCATTTTCTTTCACAACAGTTCACTGTTCGCAACCGTTATGACTCAAGATATAAACAAACGAATAATTATTAGGTCAAGATTGACAAACTGTAAACAAATTATTTGAATACATATTGTTATCGCGTGTCGACATACGATTTCATTCATTATTGTTACTCTAACAGTCTAGCTACGCCGATATACTTCGAGCCACTAATAATAGCATATCCATAACTTTTACCGCATAAAGAATATTACACCTACGGTAGTAACAGTCAAGTGGGATCACTTAAAAGAAATGAAGCTATAAAACTTTGAGTGATTGCATAAAAACGAGGCTGAAGTATCTATACAGTATACTTACAAACTTTTTTAAATATAGTGAGTGAGTAAGCAAGCAATAAATTCAAACGATATTTTAACTACTGAATCAAATACAACTATGAGGAATTAGTAATGTTTGCCAACACCGATGTGTGTGAGTATAATAATGCGGAACATTACGCGTGCATGCGTAATCCTACAATTTTTATATCGGTTCGCTTAGTGGCTGTTGAACAATATTTTCTCATAAACGACGCGCACTTTTCACTGTCGTGGAGTGTAACAATTATTCGTTTTATTCTTAGTATGTGATGACGTGAGTGTGCTCAACTATTGTAGGTTATTAGCACCTTGGATTAGAAACTATTGCTACTTCTAATGCACCGGCTGCGTTGAACAGAGAAAGTAATATTAACTACGTTTTGTGAAGAGAGAAAATGTAGGAACGGAGCATGTACGGTTATTTATAACGTGTCTATCTATAGTTACATTGATTTGTTTAATTAGACATGGACATGTAAACAAAATACCATCAGCAGAAGGTACATCTAAGGATCAAAATTGGTTATCTTATGATTCTTTGTTTAACGACTCTGGTTATGATGTAAAAAACGTGATATTATTGAGATTTTACAATATTTATGATCCGATTTCCGTCAATTCACGTTATATAAAGGAAAATAAACATTCGTCGATTGTTTAATATTTATTTAGCGATCTCTTAAGCCCTTTAGAAAGCTCTCAGTCACGCGTACTGTTTTATTCATTCCCAAGGTCTCTTGGGCCAAATGTATTTGCGAAAACAGCTTTATTATGTCAATGTTTTGTCAAGTTATATCATACAGGCAATAATACACAGGTTTTGGAACAACACAATTGTTATTGTACTTTAAAAATAGATTTCTTTCTTTAGAAGCTACGATTGTTCTCGGAAAGCAAGCGAGAAAATCCCGGAAAATCTCTGAACGCGTTTGAAATGCGAGTAAATAAATTGTTTTAGTAAGCTAGATTGTGAAATGAGTGTTTTGTTTTGTGAAACAGATACTCGGAATATGTAAACAAAATTAATTGTTTATGTTAGTCTCTATTGTCATCGCACTGTTGTTTTGTGAAATTGATTTTAACTAATGTAAATACTGACAAAGCATGGTGCTGAATAAGTACAGGCTATAGTTTCTTATACTCGTATTCTTAGAACTACTCGATTAAATGGAAACTTAAATTATTTGACAGTAAAAATCCTAAATATCTTTCTGTACGGCCCAAGGATATATAGCATAAAAATGAGTAACCAAACTTACTTTATAAGAAGCAGTGGCGACACCATCTTTCTAGCATCGAGGTCGGTGATGGTTCCCTTCGCTGACTGAAGCGCTAGGGCTGCCAGTAACAGCATCAGCGCAGCTTGCAGCGTCAACGTCGCGCAGAGGTACAGCCTCACGAACGCTCCGCCTTGCCAACCCTCTGACTGACACTGCCATGTCACTGGGTACAGCACCTCCACTACTAACGCTATTAGAACTAGCCTGTGGACAAAGAGATAAGGTTCAATTTTGAATACAATTATTATTCTGCACAGGCATTTTACCTGCTTTTTTTATTTTTTTAATATTTGATGGGCCGACGTTTGACCACTATCTCGCCTGGTGGTAAGCGATGATGCGGTCTACGATGGAGCACGTTGTCCCATAAGTAATCTATTCACGCGGTTGATTTTTGAATGAAAATCTGTCGTTTTTCTTTGAGTTTTCCTTGTTGTAAATGTGCTATGTTTCTGAGAATAACATAGACGTGGAAGTTGAAATCATAATTCAGCCACAAAGAGTATTGTTTTGACGGCTGGAGGAACATCAAAAAGTGACCTAAATCACGCTGACGTTCTTCTAAATAAAAGTTGTAATGCCTCTCTGATGAATGGCACACTGAACTAAATGAAGCGGTCAGTGTTTACACAACACCTACATAGGTACTGGGAATTTATAAATAAGGGATTTCTTGTATAGTCTATGTTGTTGATGTTTTCTGAAGTTCCACGAACTTGTTTGAAGAAAAACACGGGATATTCTAGTGTTATGATCGATATATGTATGAATATCATTATGGTTCATCGCGTGTTATTTCGGAAGCTAATGTCAACGGAGACCCTAACGGGTAACCGGGGCTTCGGCTCAACGTGCAGGAGAAGGAACGGAGTGGTTTTTAGTCAGTAAGAGTCTGACACTCCCTCCCGCCTCATTCAGGCGGGAGCAGTCATTCGATGATTTTCCCCCCTTAAAAAAAATCAAATGTCAATCCTATCAATTTTGATCAATGGTTCAATCAAAACGCACACGTTGTCGGAGAGTTTTCGTCTAGTTTCCCCAATTTTGATATCTATAATTTTTACTTGATGCTAAAAATGGATTTCTCAATTAAAATCTTAAAGTACCTATGAGTGTTTTGTGTACGTAAACACAACGTGAGAAAAACAGACACCAAAAACAAAGAAACGAAATCTGACCTTATTCCGATTACTTTTAATAATTATTACAGAAAATAAAGCGTCAATCGCCGCGGCCATTCTGCCGGTCAATCAAACGTTGGTGTTGTGACAATTTAAAACCCATTACGAAGCAATCACGCTGGGTTTCGAAGGTCATCGTATGACTGAAGTATAGAGAAATTGCGAGCCAATATTCGGAGCGAAAGCTCATTCATATTAATGGCGTGCAACAAGTGACATGATCGAAGGTCGGTGATATTTGCACAAGACATCGAGATGATAAAACATTGTCATTCACATAATAACTAACAATAACTTACTTATGAATGGAATGATAATATTAATAGATACCTACTTAAGTAAAGTTAGCATTTTTTATGTTATTTTAATGAATTGCCTATTCATTAAAATAACAATGCGAGCAGTACATTCGACATACATATCTGGATGCCGCAACCGATAGCGGCAATAGAATAGACGATTAATCTATCGATATCAAGACTTGTAACTTGAGTTAATAGATATATGCCCGAATACTGAAAGGTAGTCAATTTAAAGCCATACTGAAATATCGTGCCATCTCTGTCATTTAATAAAGAATTTAAAATAACAGAACTATATGTCTACAATAACTATTGTGAGAATATTGTAGGCTGCGTGACATCGCCGCGCCGCCGCGACCGCGCACGCTGCTCATAAGGAAGAACCCCTCTGTGGTTCGAAACTAGTAGAGCTTTTCTCAATATTTTCACGTGAGTAACCCGCGATTTTTAGTTAACAGAACTATATTAGCGCGACTGAAAATTGAATAGCGTTTGAGTATTTGAACAGTAAAGTAATATATTTGAGCTGCCATAAAGGTTTAGAATAAAAAAAACATTAAAAGTTTTCTTTACAGTTAAATAGCATCCGTCAGACTTTATGGCCTCTTGACAAACTGGCAGACGCTCCGTGTAAAACATTATCATTCAGTGAAGTTTTCAGAACCTAAAATTCCTTTATTCAGTATTCAAACACATAACGAAAGGTTTAATTTAGCCTAATAAGCATAGCAACAATTTCTTTTCATTTAATTTTAATAGAACTTTTGTTCTTAGTTGATTTTAGTGAAAGACCTTTCATTAAGCCCAACATTGTTATTGGGTTTAACGAGGGAAAGGGTAAATTAATTCTTGTCGCGATATTTACAGCTCTTTAGGTACATTTCTATTTTCTTTTGTTGCTTAAATGGTTGAAATACTGGCATTTTTATTATAAGAATTTGTTTTTATTATTTTACTTCAAAAATTGTACGTGAATAGAGAGAAATAGACCCTTTTATTGAACTTTATTTATCGGTTTATTTTCGAGAGAATTTATTTTATTGGCGAAGTTTTTATGTGGTTGTTTTCGGCCTGTATCTATTGCAACTCGTTTTATTATCTTTGCAAAAAGAAAAAAATAAACTCGCCACAATTTTCAAGTTCGGAACTAATTTCATATTTAGAATGCAGTTTCAATCGATTACTAAAGATGAGTCTACCACAGATTAGATAGACATGTGCAATAGTATGATTAATTAATTATGTTGTCAGCAAATACTGCCGTATATGTGAAAGTGAGCCACTGATGTAACTCCGCGACCTCTGATGTCCTCATACATCGCGGTCAACGGAAGTAGGTAGACAAAATGGAGCCGTTTTAAATATTAATGAATAATTGATTATGTTGTTTAAAGTATTTTAAGCTTCGTTGGTGTACCAGTAGCGAAAAATTCTTCAGAACAATGGATTGGCTGAACTTTCTCATTCATGGTATTTCGAAGAGCACTTCGAAATCAAATTCTTATCAAATATAGCAATGTTTGATAAGAATTTGATTATTATTAATGGTTTTTTCTTTAGTCTAAACAAGTCTAAAGTTAGTACGATAATAAATTATTATTAATCGTATGTCTATTCGATTTGATTCTGGCCATTATGCAAATAAATGTCTATTGTTTATGGTTTGTAAAATAGATTATGCTTTGTTTTGTTTTAAAGCATTTATAATTTCGTTTTTACTAAAGTTTCATTAAGTATATAATCATTCTTTAAATGATTTTCCATTTTATAATTTTTCAATATAATTGCATACCAATTCCTTATATATTTTTTGAGTAAAATAATATACTAACCATACAAATCTGAAGAGTAGTTCGAAGATGCTGGGGAACACGAGATCGTCGGAGGCTGCCAGCCATTTTCGCCCCAGTAGTCGGAGCGCTGGCATTCTGAAACAATTACAAATTCTTGTTAATTACGATGGCTTTCTTGCGTCTTTGAATTTACAGTCTTTTTGATAAAGTACCTATTTTTTTTAATCTTTATTTATTTAGAGGCTTTTCCCTTACTTTAGGGTATGATGAGGCTGACATAATGTAACTTAACTAACTACGTTTAATTATAATTATATACTTATTACTAACTTATCTTACTTAGTCATGTGTAAGCGAGGGGGATAGTGCTGCACTAACCATTTTATCCCCGACATCATATCTTCTAACCTTTAGTTATTGCATCAATATCTCTCTCTATATAGTATTTAATTCCTATAGCTTACAGAACCCCCCAGAACCCAGATTACACAACCCTTACACCCATACCTACAACTAAGACTGTACTAGAGAAAAATGTGCAAATGAAAGTTTTCATTAGGGATTCGAACTAAAAAATGAGATGGCCCCCATTTGCCCGCCTACTTACACAGACAGATGCGAATAAAATCTACCAATTAATGGCAACACTTGAGACTAATGTGAGGAAAAACTGCGGGAACCTTCTAGAAAAAGAAAAAGGATAATGAAACTGGTCACAGTTTCGGATGTAGTCCTGTCGAAGCTATTTGCGACCACTATTAGTTCTCGTTAGAAGCTAAGGCGATTTATTTTTGGTACATAATGATAGTCTATTGTTGCACGCTGAGTAGAAATTATACGAATACGAACACTATGCTTTTGGAGAACAAGTTCGTTTTAGTGTGGTTGATAAATAGCCTAATAGAAGTGGTTTCTTGTATCTAATCTGGCTAAGACATCTAGGTATAAGACAAATTGCTGACAATGTCAACTTTACTATGATAATCAAATATTTTTTTTTATGGCATAAGCCGGTAAACGAGCAGACGGATCACCTGCGGTAAGCAATCGGCGTCGCCCATGGACACCTGGAACAACAGAGGCGTTACAAGTGCGTCACCGGCCTTTTGGGGATTAGGAGTTTGAGGATCGTTGGGGATTCAGGGATTCAGAAGATTGAAGAAGGGGAGTTATTGGGCCAAATTAAAAATTATAAACAAAACTGACTATAATTTCGACAAATGAGCACTTTTTTTGTTATATAATTACATCAGTATTAGTACTGCAACCAACTTCAACAGTGCCGTTCAATTAAAACCATCAGTTTTTTGCATTGCTAACTTTAGCAAAGCCTTTTTAAACGTCTATGTGAGGTTGGGGTTGTACGGTCGTTGGCATAAGATCCATTCATGAGATTGAATTGATCATCCCTTAGAAATCGAGGTTAAGACGTCAGTTTGGGTATAAAATGGCTGAAGGACTGAATAAGTACCGAGGATTACCATTTATACTGAGATTGACAGCTCGATTAAGGTTTTAGTTGACTCCTAAAAGGGGTTTTTTGATGATTTCAGTGAGGATATATTTCTTATGAGTTCTTTCATCTTTTAAGTTTTAATGCGTTAAAATACACCGAACTAATCGATATACTAATATGATTAACTCGTCGAGTACCGTCATTACAGACACAATTATAGAACAATAGGTTGCGGTCACCGGTGACTGCTTGGTGTTTGACAGTTTAATAGGTAAATCTGATTGATTTATTTGGAGACCAATAGTAACCAAGCATCCTTACCAAGATATAACTTTATAACTTAAAAAATCTAAAACAAATCCTAGTTTGCTGATCATGCTTACAAATAAAATGTGCCTAAGTATCTACCTAAATCGTTTTAATTAAACAATCATTTTGCTAAACATACAATTATTTATTTAATCTTTCCTCACAGAGTTCGTTATTCAAACCGAAACTAGTATTAAATCAACGACTAAGATAAATAAGATACAAACCACAAAATGATAGATAGTAAGGTGAAATTAAATTGTTTGTAGGACAAACTTTTTGGCTTAACAATAATACAATTTTGAACAGAACTTTACATACAATTCACAGTTGTATAATTAACTTTTGTGTTTCGCAAAAGTTATAAAAAACTTTCAGCCCAGTTCGTTTTATTCGCTTTTAGTATATTTTTTGTTTAAAATGCTAAGTTTATTTAAGTAGTAACGTGCTCTGCGTATAGTATAGGAACGTGTCGTTTACTAGCTAAATTCAAATGCGTGAGTCACGTTGGATATTGAAATGCTTCTTAATTTAAAATTTCGGAAAATCTCATGCTCGTGCGTGCTGGACAACTGGCACACATATACTTTTTTTAAATCATTGCCCCACACTAGGCTTTTCTTCTGTATCGTGGGTGCGTTTAGAAACTTTCTAGTTTACGTCCACATGGCGCCCAGACCCGAAACAACAATCTGTGGATTGCACAGAACAGATTCGAACCCGTTACACGCGGCAGCCGGTTGCCCAGCCACTGTATCAACTGTGCAGTCAAACATTTTTTACCCTTATGAATAGAAAACTTGCTCAAGGCACACCGACAATATCAGCTTGAGTTTTTACTGAAAATTCAAGTTGGTCTTCAATGTCTTTTCACCAAAGTAGGTACCTATATAGACAGCAGTTTAAATGTCCATGCTAGATGCATAGATGCTAAAAAATACTTAAGTTTTTATAAGGACTGTTTTAAATAGGTACGAAGTCTCACTCCCACATGACCTTGAAACCTGAATAATTAAAGGCTCACGTTCGCGGAACAGGTCTATTAGGTCTGTTAACCTGTTAATAGCCCTAGCAAGGCCTACAAAGTATTCTAAATAAATTACACAGGTAACTGACAATTACGTTGAACCTTGTTTCATCACACATAATGACATCCATTATACAATACCAATTAATTATTATGTCTAAAAGGTCTCATTGGAAAATAGTTTGTGTCATAATACAATATAGTGTGTTTAACCGATTTCAAGAAAAGGAGGTTAGTTTGACCTGTGTGTATATGGTATGTATGTACGTAAGTAAGTATAATATACATAATATATGAATGTATGTTTGTGGCTGAGTATCTCGCGATCGGCTGAACCGATTTTGATGTGGTTTTCACTAGATGGTTATACTTAAGACTTAGGAGAAGGTTTTCAGATAAGTGTTTGTTACACTTAGGAGAAGGTTTTAGTATATTGATTAACCGATTTAATAAATTGAGGGTTTTTTAATGGGGGAAAATCATCGAGTGACTGCTCCCGCCTAGGTGAGGCGGGAGAGAGTGTCAGACTCTTACTGATTAAAAACCACCCCGTTCCTTCTCCTGCACGTCGAGCCGGAGCCCCGGTTACCCGTTAGGTTCTCCGCGACAATTGAGGGGTTTTACATCAGGTTTTTTAAACGTAATTTATAAAAGAATTATTTCTCACAGAGTTGTGGAATGGTGAAAAAGAAAAACATGTATTCACATTAAAGCATTTGTGAACGACTTAAATTCATGAACATTTAGGTCCTTTTTTTAAATACATTATATGTTATTTTTCAGATAAGAAAGTAATATTTATAAGTTTATAACTATTCATATAAAATACAGAGAAATTACAAGTACACGACATGTACATATACATATATATCCAATTTCTAATTGTAAACAAAGTATTCAAATACATCAAACAAAACAAATTGCTTGTCTAATATTTGTTTAAAATCCAACTGTAATAAATCGACTTCAGAATAATTTATCGTAAAACTGGAAGTCGGCAATTTGATAGCTATTTAAATAGTTTTTGAAAAGCTATTAGAAAGTTGTGCTAACGAGTCTGTGTAAATCAATATAGGCAATTTGTTTTAGAAATCCTTGATTTATTGCAAAACCAAAATGAACACAACATACGGTATATTTAACACTTTTGTCCAGTTAAATTATCGCTCCCATGTCTCTAATCGAGCCTATTGGTATTTCACACTCGACCAAGGAGACTTCTCGTTTACCTATGGTGCAAACATGAGAGCAGCAGAGAGCAATAAGTACATCTATAGTCATACGACATAGGTAATTGCAGAATGTATGCTACACTAAGTGTAGGACAGCCATGCTTCGGCACGAATGGGCCGGCTCGACCGGGGTTACCACGGCCTCACAGAAAACCGAAGCTTGTGTTGTGTTTCGTCGTGTGAGTGAGGTTACCGGAGGACTAATTACCCCCCACCCTCCCTTCCCCAATCTCCCCAATCCTCGAATCCCCAAGAATCCTCAAACATCTAATCCCCAAAAGGCCGGTAACGCACTTGTAACGCCTTTGGTGTTCCAGGTGTCCATGGGCGACGCCGATTGCTTACCATCAGGTGATCCGTCAGCTCATTTACCGGCCTATGCTATAAAAAAATCCAGATATAGGAATCAGGAATCGCGCAACTGTCCAGTGCAACCCCTCGACTATGATGAATTGGCAACAAAATAGGTATTACGCGAATCAACATAACCATTATTATTTATTACATTAGAGTAGTGCATATAAGATTGAAATTGTTCCAAATCACGTTTGCATGTCGAGATGGCACGTGTTCTTTATTCCATTTACATCTTTCGAACTCGTCGTGTCGGTCGGCCGACCTGTCGGCCGTCGCATGTTTCTCGGCCGGTGAACTCTGGAAGCCGAAGTATTTCTGGACATCGAAAACTTTTTCACTTTGTTTACGCAATTTACCCTAATGGGCCGGTCAGTGGGTTACGGGTATTTTTAACAGTATCAAGTATTTGTTTATTTTTAGTTCCTCTTTATTACTGCGAGTAAATTGTTTCGTTCGACTCGGTTTTATGTTGTTCACAGCTGATTAAACAGTCTGGTTGCTGTATTTGTTTTGTTTTTTTGTACTTGTTATAGTGCTGAATAATGTCGTGGATTTTGGTGTTGGACATCTTGGTGTTGTTAAAATACAACGAGGAAAAATTTTATTCACTACATACAGTAACTAGTTTTGCACGCTACTTTTTTTTGTGAAAGAAAATGTGTATAAACGTCTCCAGAGAGAGACCCTATTTGATACCGAAGCTCATTAGAATCGATTCAACGGTTTGGGTATGGACCCAAAATAAATAAAGAAA